CTAGTCTGCTCATATTAATCAGTAAATAGGTGTTAATTGTGTTAATAATTCCTGTTATGTTAATAATATAAATACTTTAATAAGTGTCAATTATGTTATATTAAATAAGCACTGAGGAAATGGAGTGGGATCCCATTGATTTATCTCCAGTCCTTTTTGTTAAAAAAAAAAAAATTCAGACTTACAAAATTATCGCAAAAAGTGCAGAAAATTTTCCCTCATTCTGTGTCTGTTAACAATAACATCTTATATAACCACAACACAATTACCAATCAGGAAATTAACATGATACAATGCTATTACCCAATCTAGAGGCCCTTTTCACATTTTACCAATTGTCTGATTAATGTCCTTTCTTCTCATCCAGGATTCCACATTGTGTTTGGTTGTCATGTCTTCTTAGTGTCCTCCAATCTGGGACAATTCTCTAGGCTGTCTTTGTCTTTCACGACTGACATTTTTGAAGAATATTGGTTAGTTATTTTGTAGAATGTCTCTGTATTAGTTTCATATCACTGCTGCCACAAATTACTATACATTTAGTGGTTTAAAACAACATAAATTTCTTCTTTTCCTGTTCTGGAGGTCAGAAGTCCAAAATAAGTCTTATGGGGCTAAAATCAAGGTGTCAGCAGGGCTGAGTTCTTTTCCAAAGCTCTAGCGGAGAATCTATTCCTCATCTTTTCCAGTGTCTAGAAGGTGCCCACATTCCTTGGCTTGTGGCTCCACGTCCCTGTAACCTCTCCTTCTGTCATCACATCTCCATCTCTGACACTGACCTGATACCTCTCTTTGATAAGGACCCTTGTGATGACATTGTGTCATAAGTGTTAATCAAGCACAGTCTTCCCATCTCAAGATCCTTTACGTAATTATACCTGAAAAGTCCCTTTGCCCTGTAAAGTAACATATTCACAATTTTCAGGAATCAGGATGTAGGCATCTTTGGGGGACCAGGATTCTACCTACCACAGGATCAATTTGAATTTGTCTGACATTTCCTCATATTTGAGTACAAGGTATACATTTTTTTGGGTGTAACAACAGAAGCGATATTGTGCCCTCTCAGGTCATTATGTTGCTTTGCTTTTTTTTTTTTTTTTTTTTTGAGACGGAGTCTGGCACTGTTGCCCAGGCTGGAGTGCAGTGGCCGGATCTCAGCTCACTGCAAGCTCCGCCTCCCGGGTTTACGCCATTCTCCTGTCTCAGCCTCCCGAGTAGCTGGGACTACAGGCTCCCGCCACCTCGCCCGGCTAGTTTTTTGTATTTTTTAGTAGAGACGGGGTTTCACCGTGTTAGCCAGGATGGTCTCGATCTCCTGACCTCGTGATCAGCCCGTCTCGGCCTCCCAAAGTGCTGGGATTACAGGCTTGAGCCACCGCGCCTGGCCTGCTTTGCTTTTTTTTAAAGATACAAACAAGAAAGATTTACAATCCTTGAACCCACAATTCTAAAATTGGAAAAGCTCTGAAAATCCAATTTTTCTCTCTGCAAATTCAGCACAAACTCATTTGGCAGCAAAACCTGACCTGAGTCAACATAAGTCCACTTATACTTTTTATTTATTTTGCTTAGTGGGAATAGTCATATGTTTTCCGGCAGAGTTATTAATGCGTTTGATCATGAGGTGCTGCCCGCAACTGTACTAAGGGAGGTGGGGGGGATACATTATATAATGTACACTTATTCCACTGAATTACTTCTGTAAATCTGAAGAATCTTGAAACATATTAGCTCAAAGGTTTCATAAATGAGACTGTGGACCTATGGACAAAATTTAAAGAAGATCTTTGTTGAATAGAAAGTATATCACATACTTCCATTACTTAAAATGCTAACTGGTCCACTTGAAAAAAAATGCAACAACAAATGAATACATATATGATGTTCAAATGGTATGAACTAAGTGAATTGCTAAATTACCTGTTACGGGCATTCTTTACATTGAAAAAGTGAGTACTGCCTCAAGAAAATGTACCAAGTTCTAAGAGTTATCTTGTGTCTCTTACATATTTTTTCTAAATGAAACCGCCAAGTCACTGAAATATCTTTATAAATATTCTATTTCAGAGAAAATATATAAATACGTAAGACAACCGTGACTGACATAATATCGCTTATAGAACATGCCATAATTCAGTTTTGTAAATTTTTCATTATAATTTTTAAATTTTCATTTATTTTGTTTTCATACTAATTGAACTCAGCAAATATGATTGACAAAAAGTAAATCATGTATTTAATCTTCTTCTAAGTTTACTTTTAAATTTATGGAGAAGTCAATAATTTCAATTTTATTAATCTCAAAATGCAACTTTGAAGAAGATCAAAGGCAATTTTATAGAAAACATTAAAAATTACAAGACCATGTCAGGCACAGTGGCTCATGCCCAAAATGAGAACCTGAGGCAGGAGGATCCCTTGCAGGCAGGATTTTGAGACCAGCCTGGGCAATATGGTAAGACTCTGCATCTACACAAAATTTAAACATTAGCTGGGTGTGGTGGCACGTGCTTATAGTCCCAGCTACTCGGAGGCTGAAGCGGGAGGATCACTTGAGCCTGGAAGGTTGAAGCTGCAGTGAGCAGTGATTGCACCACTGCTCTCCAGTCTGGGTGATGGAAGTGAGACTCTGTCTCAGAAATTTAAAAAAAGGAAAAAAATCATAAAACCATACTGAACAAAATACATTTTGCAGAAAACACTAATATTGGCCATATTTCTCCAAGAAGCAGTGCCTTTTTCTCATAGAATATAGCATTTCAGGACTGTATTGCTACTCATCTTTCCTAGATCTTTCCAGTAGAGCTGGAAAATTCATTCTATGTATACATATAACTGTACACATATAGAATATTATATATTAAATATTATATGACAATATATAATATTTTATAGTATATAAAATATGTTATCCTTAAACATATAATTCATTCTCTCTATATGAGTTATTATATATTTAAATATTATACTTAAGCGTTAATAAAATATTAAATATATACTCTTTAGAGAGACAAATAGAATAACTATACTCAGATATTTTTTATACATATAAAAGATAGAATGCCTCATGAGTTCATACTGATGATTTCCATTTCTAATCTAGGGCTATAGGCTTTCTTAACTTTTGGTCTATTATTTCTTACATGCAGAGAATCCTGGAATCTTGATTCTGGTTCTCATGGACACGGGAATGATAGAATTGGAATATTCCATAATTACTCATTTGCTTTATCCCACATTACAAATGCCACTGTCACAGAAGAACAATACTAATACTACCACCACCAAGTATAATTACAGAAACGGGCAAGTAGTTTTTTACAATAACTCTCCCATTCCTCTTCCATTTGTTTAGAGTTGTATTATGTCTACATTGTTATAGCATGTCGTTTTAGTTCTACAAGTACATATATACATATTCACAAAAGTCTTCTGTTGATGTCTCCCTGGTCATTCTGGTTGTCAGAAACTCCCTTGGCTGCTGTACAGATGTCTGTAATAGACAGATCTGGTGGTTTTTGTTGTTTTGTCCTCATCTTCTTACATTTGGGGGCTTGTGTTGATACATTGTCACTTAGACTTATTGTAAATACTATCTGTAGGGTTCCGGTTTTGCTGTCAGTTGCTATGTTGTTTCCATGTGGGAGTTGGGGAAGATCGCAAAACTACACTGCCCTTTCTTACAATGGACATCTTCAAATTCTGTTCTTGGTGTTTTTGATGCATTATTTCATTTAATCTTTAAAACAAACCTAGTAACCAGTCATAATTTCCCTACTTTACAAACATGAAAACTGAGGTCTCAAATATGATAAGTACTGATCTAAGATCAGACAGTTAATTGCTGATGGAAAAACTATTTGAGCTCAGGTCTATCTTATTCTGTAGTCCATACTCAGCTCCTATCCTGCACTGCAATAGTTTCATACATGACATAAACATTGTCTTATTATCAGATAGACTAGGGCCTTGCAGCTTTGGATCAGTTAAGCTTTTCAAAGAAATGTTTCAACGCACTCTCCAAGTTGCAATAATCTAATAACACTATATATATAATTGTATACATGCACTGTTTTCTTTCAGAACTTTTTTGTAATCACTAAAGCAATTTCCATTGGATTATTTTTAAAAACTCCTTCATGAATGTTTTATGTTACCAGAAAATAGACTGCTTTCAGCAAGCCTCTACTTGATACTAACAATAGAAAGTATCATTTGTGGACAGAGAACAAGATAAATGGTCTGAATTCCTAGGTTTCATTCTTGATTCTGTCATCAGCATACCGTGTGGCCTCCTGAAAGCCCATTTAGTCATATGATTATAGGCTCCTTCAACACTGACGTTAATTCACTCCTGCAAAGTTAGTCTCTGGTATCTAATGTCTTTCGACATCATCTCGAGACAACAGTTGGAGCAAATATGATAAGGGGCACATAATGGATTATGTATCGATGACATAAAGGAGGCATGCATAATAAGCAGTGGAAAATAAATTCTAAGGAAGTATGACAATAAAGGGATTGTTTTGTTCCCTTCAAGAAGAGAGAAAGAGGCATTTTTATCTTCAAAACTCCATTCATAGACAAGAGTTTCATCAATGAACTAATTTCTCAGATAGTTTGGTTGGAATCTGAGATGGATTTTTATGCATGAGAAATTTTCATGGAAAATACCCTGTTTGCAACTTCAAATTTATGGTTTGGCAACAAGAGAGCAAAAAAAAAAAAAAAAAGAAAATTCCAAGGTTACAGAGGAGGAACTGATTTTAAATATATGTCTATAATATATAGATATTTTGCTCCTTAGGAGCTGAGCAGTGGACTAAACGTTAAAAGCTAAAACTTAGAAAAGGCCAGGGAACAGTGGAGATTCTCATGTATTTTGCCTTCAAAGTCTTGAATTTTCATGGAGCTGTTCTGTATATATGTAATGACAATAAAAGGCAAACTCATGCTCTGAAATCTTCTTCTTCTCCCCCTCCCCCATCTCAGAAACATGTTTCCTAAAACCTGTGTTTTAGAATTTCTATTCAAAATTCTTTCATTCATAGCATCTATCTGTGCCCAGTTATATAGAATAAGGAGACAAATCCATCTCTCTGGTTTAGATTCTTTCAAAGTGACCTAAAACCTTTATCACACTAAGGTTTTCCTTAGGTACGCATGGGAAGCAGACGTGGAATAGGAGATAGCCAACAGGTGCAACGCCTAAGAGAAAGCAAAGGGCCCAGAGATCATTTGAACTCCGCCTTGTAATGCAGCCTGTCAGACGAACTAGCCATCCTTGACTTTTCCTCTTCATTGCGAGCTCACAGTCCAGAAAACATCCCACCTAATAGGATAAAGGTTTTAAAGTGTTTTTATACTAAACATATGAGAAGAAAAAACAGTAATAAATCACTTCACCTCAAGAATATGGCAAACCATGTTAAGTCATTATAATTTGAGGCTAATTATGTGTGGATGACACTGAATAGCAGTAATTATTTTAGATCCAAATCACAGTGTCTTCAAGCTGGAAGACAGGCAGGGAGAACATAACCTATACTAAGATTTCTAACTGGCTCATACAGACAGTTCAGCGCTTCTCTAAGACAGCTTTTCAGCGTCTAAAAGTTTAGATGCTCTTGGATTGTGGTGTGGTAGGGAGCAGGTGGGAGAACAAGAGAATATCTTGACCTCTTCCTCATTAAAAAAAAAAAAAAAAAAAAAACTGGTCCCGTCCTTCTGTATCTTGACATTTCTTCTCTTCATTTCTTTCCCTAATATCATGTAGAAAATATTTGCATCATAACCACTTGATTGTTGCAGTTGAACATTTTCTAGGCAGTGTTACAAATAAGTAAATCTCAACTTTAGTTATGTAATCTCATTAAATTTAGAACCAACCTGTCCCATGGAAGAAAACAAGCAGAACAAGAGCACAGGACAGTAGAGAGGTACCTGTTGATGAAAGATGAGCTTGGGTAGAACTTTGAACATTGTGTCTGCTTAGAAAGCAGCTAGATGGGTATTATGAAGTTTCCAGGAGCCAAATATTCAACAGAATGATAAGGGATGACACAAAATAAGGAGAGGAAGAGTAAAGTCATTTTTTCTAGAGCTAGCTGTTTGTAAAATCCAGGCTTCACCACTAAAATTCCAATGTAGTATTTCCATAGGAGATATAATATTTCCATAGGAGATGCAGCTTTCTTTCCACTGGGACACTGCCCCTTACCCACATGGCTCTGTCACTGTGGGATTATTAATGGTTATGAATTACTGGAATAGACACACCATACTTGGTGACATCTTTAGCTCTATAAAGAGTGAGAGCCGTATATGAAAAGGTTCCTGCCCTTAAGGAGTTTGCAATATAATCGGAAAATAAGGCCAGTTTATCCCTAAATTATCATGCAAACCAAATGTGAAGTGTCTTAAAAGTAAGAGGAAACAAAATCATATGGAAGCTGAGAGGTGAAGATTAAGTCTACTGCAAGCATTTTTCCTCTCAGTGGCCTGGAGGGATGTTATTTACTCAGGATGGCACTTAGTTCCATGTTATTCTATGTCGCTAATGTGAAAGAGAGACAAAACCTGACTCTCCCCTATTTCTCTTTCTTTGCTTTGAAAGGTAGATTCTTTGTCCCATGCTGCTCCAGAGATCTTTCTGTGTTGATCCGAATTTAATGGTGGAAATGTGGAGTTAAAGACAGAAGAGATGTCTGGGGGCAAAATGCCCTACAAAGGAAGGGCACAGAGATCCATATGGAAAGTTTTTCTAAATGGTTTATATTTTGCTCACTAGAACTTCTCATTCCCTGTTCCAGATTGGGAACACTGGGAACAGTGTACTATTCTAATAAATATCTCTTGCTCCTAATGGTTCGGTGTCAGATTTCTGCTGCTTTTGAGAGTGACAGCGTGGAACACAGGGCATTTAGGTGGGTGGGTGAAAGCCTAGATTAAGTGGATTTTAAATATCTAAATGGCCTTGAATGATCAGAGTTAGAAGAGTCTTTGGAAAGTATAACTATTGCAGCCTTTTTCAATTTTTTCTGCAGAGTCGTAGTGTCTAAGGCAGGTTATGAGTAGGTGGGTGGAGACATAAGGAGGAGGTTATGTGGGTTGGACTCTGGGACCCTGCCCTCAGTTCAACCAGAGCTTATGAATTTGGTTTTATCTGTTTTATATACTAGGGTTCCAGATAAGGTAATTGAAAAGAAAGGCACTATGGCTAAAAAGGAAATATGTTAATACTATCAAGTTCAACCAGAGGAGTCATAGAGGTTGAGTGAGCTGAGACTCGATCTCACAGTTAGTTCCCTTTTGACTGCCCACGACTGCTCTTTCATGTACATCCTCAAATAAGAAGGTGAGCTGCCTGAAGATATGTAGGGAATTAAACTACGTTCAAATGATCAGCTCTGGATTCATTGGTTATGTTTAATAGTGGCATCCCTGTTATCACCAAGTGCTATGTTTTCTGTGTGTTTTACTACAGCAAAGGGCTATATACATATTTGCTGAATCATATGGAGAGTGTTTGTGCATCCATACCTGACAGATTAAATGCAAAATTTTATTCTCCTCTTGCAAGGATGAATCTACTTGCAACGGGGCTGCACCTTTGCCCCTTGAATAACTGCTTCTGCCTTTTCATCAGGAGGTCTCTGAAGGACAGCCAGCCATTTCAGAGGAAAGCCACATTCACCTTCTTTACTGGAGTACTGAGTCTTGGAACAACAGGATCCTTTTTTGTCAGATACTTCATGATTTCCCATCATAGAGAAATATAGTATGATCCCTGACCTCATCAACAAGAATGCTGCAGAGAAAAAGACAGGGTAGACAAGAGTAGTATTGGTAAAAGATGAAAGTGGGAGCAGTGATTAGCTTGTTCCTAAGACACAATCTCAGAGATAAAACCTTAATGTTCAGTCCTTATCTACTGTTCCTTTAAACGATATCCTTAGACATGGCCACCAAGAACACCAGTTCCAAATAATCGGGTCATCTGTTTAGGTTTGGTGAATTACAATCCCAACAATACCTATGAACAGTAACAACACCAACAATCAATACCCTGAGAAGCTGACAGGGTTCCTGACAGTGTTCTAAGCATTTCATTTTCATTTCCTCTTGGGTGTCATGTAGCAGAAAAGAATCGGATATCATCCATTTCTCTTCAAGCTTTCCATTTAGGTGAAGAGAATAAAAGAAATATAAGGGTAGTTCTATGACAAAATATTCAATAGATCTTGGAAAAAACATAGCCCACAGAAATGAAGAGCTTTGTGTTAGCATCCATGAAATTAACAAGTTTGAAGATAGGACCACTGCACCGAAGAACAGAATTGATAGTGTCACAAAATAGGTCGTGACATACCATTCTCTCTGTTCCCTTAAAAAGGTCAGCTTTTCCATCAAGTCACAATTTTATCAAGCATTCATTGTACTTTAAATTTCATATATTGTATATAACTATTCAAAAAGTCCAGGTGATGTGTTAACCATAAAACATTTCCTTAGTTAAGGGCAGGTTGGGAACATCATGTATTAGAAGACACAGATGTTTAAGTACAAGAATTAAATATGCATACTTAATTTTTGATGACTTTCATAGGTGATGTTTTTTATTTAAAAATAGGATAACGTATTTTGAGAACAAAATTTATTTCATTAGCGGTCATGTGTAGTTATAACATTAAAACATTCAAATTATAACTAGAAACAGAAACGGTTTTAGATTTTGCCGAAAGACAATTTTTAGATGATTTTTTTACATAAATATTTAGTTGCTGGCATAAAGGCTAAAGTATTAGAAGCCAGGGGGAAGGAAACTGTAACAGTTTTAAAGGTAACAATAGGCTCAAAATATAAAAAAGGACCAATTCAGCTGGTTTAAAAAAAGAAAAGAAAGCACAATAGCTCAACAGTAAGTTCACCTATTATATAATTATAGGTTTTGTATACAAGTGCAGACAAGCAGACAGAATGAAAACCTCCTCTAGGAAATCCAAAAAACTTGGCAGGTCTGTCCAGGTGGGATGTGATGCTGGTACCAACAGCAAAAAGAAATAGACTGTAACTAGGGCTTGGCCTACGTCTGAATTTGGCTTCTCTTTGCTAAACAGCAGTTTGCTGCAAAACTCTGGGAAACAAAGGGAAAATGGAAAGTGTGAGAGAATGAAGGCACAGAGCTCAGGTAACTAAAAAAAGATGTTGTCAATCACAGGCTTTGCCAGGCAATGTTTTTGCCATCACTTCTGAGGACAACTCACTTGAGATCTTTCAAGAACTTCTGAAGACGGGAATTTCATAAACAAAGCTCTTCATCAGAAGGCAAAGGAGGAGGCAAATAAAACTGTTTTTAGAGCATGAAACTGCAGTGATTATATACTTTCCATAGATGTGTCTTATACTTACAGAAGCCCAGGTTTGACTGGGGTCATGGAGATGGATGACCCCAGACTTTTGCAGAATGCTCATCTTTCACCCTGTTCTTTTGCACACGGTTACTTGTTATGTATGGAACTCAAAAGACAATCAATTCAGCAATTTCACATCTGAGTATATGCCCCAAATAATTCAAAGCAGGGACTTCAAGAGATATTTGTATACACTCATGTTCACAGCAGCATTGTTTACAATAGCCAGATGGTGACAGCAACCCAAGTGTCTATCAACAGATCAAAGGATAAACAAAGTATGGTGTATACATACAGGTGAATATTATTCAGCCCTTAAAAGGAAGGAAACTCTGACACATGCTACAAGAATGAACCTTGGGGACACTATGCTACATGAAATAAGCCAGTCACAAAAGGACAACATTTTATGATCCCACTTATATCAGGTTCCTAGAGCAGTCAAATTCATAGAGACAGGAAGTAGCACAGAGGTTGCCAGGACTGAGAGGAGTGGGGAGGGGAGAGTTATGAAGGTACTTAATGCCACTGAACTGTACACTTTAATTAAATGAATTAATTAGTTAATTAATTATTTATTGAGACAGAGTCTCCCTCTCTCCCCCAGGCTAGAGTGTCATGGCACGATCTCGGCTCATTGCGATTTCTGCCTCCTGGGTTCAAATGATTCTCATGCCTCAGCCTCACAAGCAGCTGGGATTACAGGTGTGCACCACTACACTTGGCCAATTTTTTGTATTTTTAGTAGAGACAGGGTTTCACCATGTTGGCCAGGTTTTTCTTGTTCAAATTCTCGACCTCAATTGATCTGCACACCTCAGCCTCCCAAAGTGCTGGGATTACAGGTGTGAGCCACTGCATCTAGCCAACAGTACAGTTTAAAATGGTTAAGATGATAAATGTTATGCTATATGTATTTTACCACATTTTTTTAAAATCAAGTATTTGGGGGCATGGAGAGAGGAGGGTCTAATGCCAGACAGAGGTGGGACCAATTAGTGACTGATTTCACACAAACTATAGCACATGCTGTCAGCACTTTGCCCATAGCCCTTTGACCAGTTACCATTTTTCCTTGTCAATCTAAACTCCAACTGCCAGCACCAGCACCTCTTTGCCTGACAGATTTCAGTGAAGCTTCTGGAACCTGCTTTTCCTGAGGATGCAGCAGACCAGGCATGTCGGGGAATTAAACCCTCTAGGGAAGTCAATGGCTGATGGGAACTGGTGAACAAATATTCCAGTTCCCTCACTACTTAAATGGTGTGGATAACTGTGAAACATGTGTCTTATACAATGTCCCAAGTTCCATAGCAGAATTGTGCTCTTACTTCCATTAGAGCTTGCTTAATGATGCACCTTTTTTGGCTTTTTCCTTTCCTTTTTTGTGATGGTTAATTTTTGTATCAACTTGGCTAGGCCACTGTACCAAGATATTTGGTCAAACATTCTTGATGTTGGTATGAAAGTATCGTTTAGATGAGATTGGCATTTGAATTAGCAGACTTTGGGCAAAGCAGATTACCTTCCTGAATGTGGGTGGGCCTCATCCAATCCGTTGAAGGCCTTAATAGAAAAAGATTCTTCTGCCCTGAAGAAGAGGACATTCTGCCCACAGTCTGCCTTCAGACTTGAAATGCAATGTTAATTCTTCCCTGGGCCTCCAGCATGCCAGCCTATCCTGTAGAATTTAGACTTGCACCTCCACAATTGTGTGAGGCAAATCCTTAAAATAAACCTCTCTCTCTCTCTCTTTCTCTCTCTCTCTCTATATATATGTGTGTGTGTGTATATATATATAATATTTGTATGTATGTGTGTATATATTATATGTATATACATATATATGTATATTTTCTGCTTCTTTGGAGAATGCTAATACATTTTCCTATTCCTGTGCCACTGTTCACTGAATAATTTTCCATTTAATCTATATTTGCCCTTGAGTCCTTGACTTAGAGCAGTGGTTCTCCTTCCAGAGCACATTTGGCAATGTCAGGAGACATTTTTCATTGTTATAGGAGTGGGTCCAGTGGGAAGAGGCCAGGATACTGCTTAACATCCTACAATGCACAGGACAGGAGCCCCTACTTATCAGACTTACCCAGTTGATATGGTTTGGCTCTGTGTCCCCACCCAAATCTCATCTTAAATTGTACTCCCATAATTCCCACGTGTTGTGGGAGGGACCCGGTGGGAGATAATTGAATCATGGGGGCAGTTTCCCCCATACTGTTCTTGTGGTAGTGAATAAGTCTCACGAGATCTGATGGTTTTGTCAGGAGTTTCTGCTTTTGGGTCTTCCTCATTCTCTCTTTGCCTGATGCCATGTAAGATGTGACTTGCTCCTCCATGCCTCCCACCATGATTGTGAGGCATCCCCAGCCATGTAAAACTGCAAGTCGAATTAAACCTCTTTCTTTTGTAAATTGCCCAGTCTCGGGTATGTCTT